TTATTTAATAAAAAAATATTTCTTTCTTATATATTCAATATTTATTAGATAGAAAAAAGAATAATTTTTTGTGATACAGTTTAATTTATCACCTTTTATCTGACACCAATCGGACAATTTTCTACAAGTGTTTGATTAATGTCCAGTAAAACATTGGCCATGAAGAATGTAATAGAATAACATCTCTATATATCTCTCCATGTTTTTATCTTGTAAAACCCATTTTGTACACAAATTTTCGTTGGTAGTCATCTACCAATTCGTAACTTTGAAGGCTGAATTTTACACGGTTTTTTATTACAATGCTTTTCTGCGCTTTGTTACGTACAGTTTTATTACATCGGCACGCTAGTTTACGATAAATGTAATCGATAAGAACTCTTGATAATCATTTCGAAGGAATTAGATGAAAGACAATTTCTAGTCGAATCATCGGAGTGAAAGATATGATTTCGCAAAGAAAGGTATAAAATTTTGACAACAAGCGTCGATAAAACTTATTTTTAAATCATTTAAATGTCACATCATTCATCACTTATGTTTTATCAATTATCTCTTTTTATTTTTCATTTAAATATTAATTATAATTTTACCTAGTATATTCGATACGCGTGCGACGTATTTAACATTTATTTCCTTCCTGTACATCTATGTGAAGAAAGGAAATAAATATATGTTAATACGAATAATTTGCGTTCTATGGCGTATCGCTGACACATTCTCGAGATGCATCAAATATTTTGATCAATGATTTTGATTTAAGAGTTTCGTATGCAATTTACAAATACACGAGTGCGCATAATTATCTTATTTTATATAGAATACTCTTCTTTCCTTTCTTCTGTATTATTTTTCGAGGCCATTCCTTTCTTCTTCTTTCTATTACATTTTATGCTTCATCATCCTTGTATATAAAAATTCATCTAGTGTGGATCTTCCATTATAATGTGTATTTATTTTATTCATCTTTCTCTTCTTTTTTTTTTAGAACTGCCAATGTGTGTGTGCGCGCGCGCGCGCGCGCGCGTGTGTGTGTGTGTGTGTGAGAGAGAGAGAGAGAGAGAGAGAGAAAGAGAGAGAAAATGTGAAAATATTGATGAAAAGCAAAGTCTTTTTCGAATGTTCCTCTAGCCCTAACCTCAGAGCTCGTTCTCTCATTATCATCATTTATGTTCTGCGCTTTTCCTTTCATCTTTATCTTTTTACTTTACTTCTTGCTTTCCTTCCTCCCGATATACAAGATGTTTTACATACGTAATCTGTCCTCTATCATAATGATAGAATCAGTCGAATTTTGAGACGATTTTTCCTCTATTTCAAAGGAAAAAAAACCATCGTTATCACTTTTTAATATATTAATTATCATGATAATTAAAAAATCTCGTGAATTAATTTTATTGAGATAAATTAAATTTAAAATTGAAAGGAAAGATGAAAGAGAGAGAGAGAGAGGGGGAGAGAGAGAGAGAGAGAGAGAGAGAGAGAGAGAGAAATATGTATTGTAAGTAAAAATAAATTTTATACAATAAATTATAAATAAGTAAAATAAATTATATAC